TAACTTGATATTCAATCCAATTTCATGAAGAAATCACGATCTCCTCAATCACTCATTTTAGCCTATAATGACGGTCTTGTGATTTTGATTAGATGATGATTCAATTGTGATTAGATTATTAAATTGCTTATTCCTTATTCACTATATGTCAATTCATTTTGATTTTTTCGGAATTGATGAATGATGATCATAGCTTGGAGAATTGGTATTTTGACCTATATTCTTAATTATAATAGTATAGCTGACATTGTGTGGTATGGTTCACTTATGATGGTGGTGTTTACATTATTGTCTATCCTTATGTGATGTGATCACGGACATCAGGTCAATATATGTAAAGTTATTCAACATGATGATTATATTGATTTTGAAGAAGTTGTGTAGTCTACAATTCTAGTATCATGACTAGGGTGTATTGATAATGTTAAGTGTGTGAATGATTTTGTTAGGGTTAGGTATGATCTATATGATTGGTTCTGATAAATTCCGTTGTAGAAGGACCCCCTAGCTACGTAACCCTATATGAAAATGTGATCTTATGTATGTTAAGAGTCTTCTATTCTAATGTTGAATATGTTTTTTGTCTCCTATGATGAAATATGAGTGTGTGGTCTATAGTACCTAAAGGCTCTTTATGTGAGTTGTTTATGACTTGAGGGATATTGTATATGTATTGTGATCCTCAGAGTATGGTTTCCTCAATAGATAGGTTGTGTATGTAATATGATCAAGATGACTAATATGAAAGCACACACTCTCATGTATCAATATGATTTGGGTAGATTTATCGTTCCAATTGAAGAATAGTTCTCATATGCACAATTATCTATTACTATTCATGTAAATTATATGATTAATGAATTATGAGCATATGTTGTATAGAGGTTTTATGTGGAAGTATATATCACATGTATGCACACACACATGAATGTGTGAATGGAAGAATTATGTGAAAGTACATTCTCACATAAAGCTGGTTCTGTGATGAATGTCCATTCTCATCCTAGAAACCTTTGAGCTATATGATGTATAAGCGATTATGTCCCTAAAGCCAAAGTCTTATGAAATAATGATTAATAAAGGATTAAAGATGCTAAAAAAAGGTTTAATCTAAGCACCAAGTGGATATGTAGAACAAGGAAAAGACCCTCCCGCTAATACAATAGGTTGAGTCATCCAAGTGATACTAATGATGTAGAAGTCTCTCCGGTTATGTAATAGGTAAGGTTTGTATAAGCACTCTCACTACAACTTTACTACTTTCCACCTAGGATATAGCTAGTGGATCCACCTAGATAGCTATTATGTTTGGTTCTACCCTAGCAAGTAGAACACCTTTTTTCGGTGTGGGTTCATACGACACCGGATTCAATGTAGCTCACATGGTTTATGTTGGTTATGGATAAGCATCCCTAAAGTTAAGAATATGAACTAATATAAAATTATGAATATTAGTCATGATTCCTGTAAAGTCTTTTTTAGTATGTAGGACTACGAACCTTACTTATACATTGCACAAATGGACTTTAAGGGAAGGTATGATGAGATTCATTTGTAAAATAAATATTCTGGTTCATGCATGTAAATTTGAACTCTTGTTAATATTTGACTTTACTCATGCCAAGACATGAATTATGAGTATCAATGTGAAATACACTTATGGATTCTAAATGGATTTACTTGTTATATGTGAGGGTATAGGACTCCATGTGTACATTGCACAAGGAAGCTTGTGAAGTGGTTGTGAGGATGGTTTACCTATGATATGAACTAATAATTTATGACTAATATAAAATGAATGAAATATTTCTTACGTGACCATTAATGGATTATGTTAGTCATATGTCTAACATTAAATGCATGTGTGGTATTTTATTGAATGTGATGTGCCTAAGTCTAGGGTGAGTTCTTAGAATCATTTGGCATGAGTATTAGTATTCGATGCTACTTGTACATTGAACTATGAGATTGAGAAGTTGTCTTAGGTAATGGTTCTTATGTGTAAATTTTGCCTTAATATATGATCCTTAATTTTAATGAAATGACTTTAAGTATTGTTATGAGCAATATCCATGTCTATATGAAGTATGTGAACTATATTGTGCTTATTTTATCAATTTTCATGAAGTTTTACTATGAAGACATGATGCATGATTTCTAACTAAATGACCTCTTAAACTCACGATTTTGTCATGGTTTTCATACTCAGTGCATTCTTGTACTAATATCATTCTTCTTCATCTTTTGACACAAAGTATAGGTGGTCATGTCTAGAGGATGTTTCTATTAGAGATGAGGTTTGATAGATTTTTAGCAAGTTCAAATAGGCGTTCTTTCCTATTTCAATATGTTATTCAAAGTTTATTTAATTGTCTATACTATGTTATTAAATATGTAAAGGTTCTTTACCTAGTCTATTATGTTGATGTTGAGTCAAAGATGACTATTGAGACCTAGTGTCTAGACTATGTACTTATGATTTTGTAAATGAGGTGTTATTCTAGAGTTATTTTATGTAATGAAAAGTTTGAAATTTTGGGCTATTTTTATATATATGCCATGAATGAATGTGAAGAGGCTTTTCTTAGATTTTCGAGAGGTGGACGACTATGGTAACTTCTAAGGGGTGCTCTCCGGTTTGATAGCCTTCATAGCCAAGTGTCTTCTCTGTTTCCCCTAAGGTTTTACCTAGAGGGGATGGTTACCCTAAATCTAAGAAGTGGTAGTGAACCTTTAAGTGTCCCAACATGTTTTATTATGATTGGTTAAAATTTGGGATATCTATAGTCCTAAAAGGTGGAAGATTCTCAAAATAGGCTAGAGATGAGTTAACAAAGGTTATTGCCTTTGTAGGCTTCAATACGGAAACTACATACCTTGTTATGACTATAAAATAGAATGTAATGAGATATGGAATTAGCTTTGGTACACATACTGTAGTTGAGACCTCATATGATTGGGTAGTATGAACTAATTTTATTATTATGATATTTCCTTAGGTATTAGACCTAGAGAAATGATGATGCTTGAGTATTACCTCTTGATCATTGAGTTATTAGACTCCATGATATGAGATTAGGAGTGGAAATTCTCAATGATGTCAAACCTTATTATGTGAGGAGTATATAGGTTTGGTCTTGACTTGACTATTCCTTGGTGTTTTAAGGGCATGATGTGATGAGCATGTGATAAGGATTACCCAAAGTGGGGATGATTCTGTGAGTAGTAAGGTTATTGATATCCCTATATCTTCCTTCTATTCTTAATCAAGCTTGCAACTAAAGAGTTCCTAAGTAGCTAGTCGATGTAAGGGAGTCTTGCAAATAAGCATAAGTCCATGCTCTCCATATGTTATGCATATCTAAATTGAAACTATGTTAAGCATGTTTTGAAGAATTCATATTGCATGAAAAATGGATTTTTATAAATTGCATATTTCTCATGTTGTTATGCATTTTGGTATGTTGTATGTGCATTAGATTGTGTGAGATGGCTAAAATTAACATGCTTGATATCACTCTATATATGTGGTGTTTTGGCCCCACAATGAGAAGTTGAGTTTTCTTTAAATAAGTGATGATGATTCACTTTAATAATGTGTGAATTTTGCAATTTGGGAAGTGTGGATGTAGGCTCACTCTTGAGAAGTGAATGTATTTCTAGAAAATTTCGTTAAGTGTCCCTATGAATTTTAAGAACTTCAATAAATGATGCATGTTTATGAAAACTAGTGTCATGATAGAAATTTGAAGTATGTGAAATCACTTCCTATTATTGTGATGTGTGTGGTGTGATTTACCATATTGACATCTTGAGGAAGAAAATATGAGCATGTTTTTGTTAGAGGTTCTGAATATCACCATAAGTGAATTGAGCTTCCTTGAATACATGTATGTAAGACCTAATATGCCATGTGAGTATGTTGTGACTAAGAAAAGGTAGTACCTCGTTTAAAATAACAAAAACATGATGATAATATGTATGACCTTTAATGGTATTATGTCTAAATGATGAAGATTTTTATTTATCATGTCTATGTGTGGGTTGAAAATTGTTACATGTTAGACATTATGATGAAATTATGAGCATGCCAAGATTTTGAGAAGGTAGTTCCTCCAAATGGCAATGAGTACGAAGAAGCATGTATGTATGAAAGTATTTGTAGGAGTAGTCCAGTTTTTGGATTTTGTTGCTTTAAAAGCATGATAGTATGAAGTCGGCGTTCTTTGTAAGTTTTGTGAATAAATAATGTATTACACCATGTTGAATATTGTGAGATGCTATATGGGTCATTGAGTCATTGAAAGTATTTAAATTGTCCCAAGTGTCATTCGAGGACGAATGTTCCCAAGTGGGGGATATTGTCAAGACCCTTAAAATGAACTAGCTATCTAGAGCCTCACATGTAACTTAAATGATTAAGATATTAATAAAGTGTTTTACAGATTGTATAGTTTGCTTGAAGAGTTTTGAGGTCAAACGTCCAAGAACGACCGAGACCTTCGAAATTTTTCTTTAGGTGCTAGTGTGTTCTAGTGTGTTTTTGCCTTGTTTGTATATTTTGGTTGTATTCTAAAAACTGTGGAGTTGACCCTAGTATATTAATAATCATGTATAGGGTAAAAATGTTTGGGTATGAATTTATGAGGACCACCCTAATTTTCCTTGAGGAGGACCCAAACGTTGGACAAGGAAGCTTCCAAAAATAGTGTGCAACACCAAGATGTGGAAGTCATCTCGCGTCGCGCGCCTAGATCTCAAGATGCATGTGCGTCACATGGCTGACACAATGATCACTGCCTCAAAAATTTAGTGAGGCAAAATTAGGAGTTGCCTTCGTGAGGAGAGCCACTTCCTAGATTCGATTGCGTCATTTTAAAGTCATGTTTGACATTTCTAACAATCCAAATAAGTATGGGGGTGTTTTGGTAACTTTGTGAGACGGTTATAAATAGTTTTTATGTAAAATTTAACCTTTCAACCAAATCAAAACCCAAATAACCAATGTGACATCAAAAATCCCAAATCCCTATTCTTTTCCAAATTCTCTCAAACCTCGATTGGATGCCAAACTCAAGTTCAAGCTAGAGGATAAATTTTCAAGTGCTTTCTTCTCCTAATGTGTGGGTTTTTCTAACATAAATGTATGGTAATCTTTGATCTTTAGTTAACCTTTCATCTAAGAAGTTTATTAGAAGGTTTTCTAATGACATTTTATGATCATATTGCCTATTTTTTAATCTAGCCATGGGTTCAAATCGATTTGAAAGTAATTCTAAGGATGGATTTATGAATGATTATTGTTTTTAAAATGATTATCCAATTTCACGAAGAACCCATGATCTTCCCAATCTCTCAATTTATCCTATAATGTAGGTCTTGTGATCTTTATTAGATAATGATTCATTTGTTATTACATTATATTACATTTCTTGTTGATATTTCTATATATGCTAACTGATTATGAATTTTTGGGAATTTATCAATGATGATCATAGCTTGGAGAATTGGTAAGTTGACATAATTATTGTTTATCCTTATGTGATGTGATGATGGCTTTGAGGATAATATATGCAAAGTGATTCAATGTGATAATTATCTTGATTTTGGAAGTTTTATGTAATGTTCAGTTATAGTATTATGATTAGGGTGTATTGATAATGTTATGTACATGAATGATGTTGGTAGGGTTAGGTATGGTCTATATGTTATGTTTTGTTGAATATCATTGTAGAATGACCCCCTACATATCTAACTGTATATGAATATGTGATCTTATACATGTCAATAGTTTCTATTCTAATGTTGAATATGTTTTTTGTATCCTATGATGAAATATGAGTGTGTGTTCTATAGTGCCTTAATACTCTTTATGTCAGTTGTTCATGACTTGAGGAAATTGTATATGTATTGTGATCCTTGGAGGATTGTTTCCTCAATATCTACATTTTGGCTCTTATGTGATTATTATGACCAATATGAACACAAACAGACACTCTCATGTATTAACATGAGTAGGATGGTTTTATGGTGACAATTGAAAATATAGTTCTCATATGCTCCATTATTTATTACCGTGAATGTACAGTATATGACTAATGAATTATGAGCATGTGTAGTATAGAGGTGTTATGTGAAAGTATTTCTCACATGTATGCACATACACATGGATGTATGAATTGTTGAAATATGTGAAACTACATTGTCACATAATGTTTGTTCTATGATAAAAGTCGATTCTCATTCTATAAACATTTGAGCTATATGATGTATGACAGAGAAAGTCCTCAGAACTTAATCTTATGAAATAATGATTAATAAAGGCTTAAAGATACTAAAAAAGAGTTTAAGAGTAGCACCGACTGGATATGTACAGTGAAGAAAAGATCCTCGCTCTAATATAATAAGATGGGTCATCCAACTGATAATCATGAGGTTGAAGCCACACTCTAATGCAATAGGCCGGGTTTCTAGAAGAATATCACTATCCTTAACTATGTGCCCCCGTAGGATACAACTAGTGGATTCACCTTGATGGATATTATGTATGGTTCTACCTTGTCAAGTAGAACACCTATTTTGTGTGTGGTTATATGACACCAGATTCTATCTAGCTCACATGGTTCATGTTAGTTACGGATAAGTACCCCTATATTTAAGAAAATTAACTAAGATAAGACAATGAATATTATTGTGATTCCTTGAAAGGCTACTTAGTGTAGGTAGGACTATGGACCCTTCTTATACATTGCACAAGTGGATTCTAAGGGAAGGTATGATAAGGTTCCTCTGTGAAATAAAAATTATTGTTCATATATGTAAATATGAGTGTATACTATGATTTGAATCACTTATGTCATGTTATGAATTATAAGTATGCATTTCAATTGCACTTATGGCTTCTAAAGAGGTTTACTTGGTATATGTGGATGTATGGGACTCCATGTGTACATTGTACAAGTAAGCTTGTAAAGGGATTATGAGGGTCGTTTACCTATGTTATAAACTAATGATTTATTAGTAAGATGAAATGAATGAAATATTTCTTATGTGACCATTAATTGAGAATGTTGTTCTTATGTCTAAGTTTAAATGCATTTGTGGTATGTTATTGAATGTGATGTGCCTAAGTGTAGGGTGACTTCTTAGTGTCACTTGGTATGAGTTGTATTATGTTATGCTACTTGTATATTTAACTAGTTAGATTCAGAGGTTGTCTTAGGTGATGGTTCTTATGTCTAAATTTTTCCTTAATTTATGGTCATTAAATCCGATGAAATGGATTTAAGTATTCTTATGAGTAACATCCATGTCTATATGAAGTATGTGAACTATATTGTTCTTATTGCATCAATGTTCATAAAGTTTTACTATTAAGACATGATGCATGATTTCTAACTAAATGTCCTTTTCAACTCATGTGTTTTGCATGGTTATCATACTTATTTTATTCTTGTACTAATAACATTCTTCGTCATCTTTTTATGCAAAGTGTAGGTGGTGATGGCTAGATGATGATTCTAAGAGCAATGAGCTTGGATAGATGTTTCCCAAGGGGTCCTTAAGATTCAAGGATTTCCTATGTAAAGATATTCAAAGTTTATGCAATAGTGTAGATTGTATTATTATTTTTGTAATGGTAGTATCCCTAGTCTATCTTATTGATGTTCAGCCTAAGATGGCAATTGATATTTAGTGTCTACACTTTGTACTTGTGATTTTATACATGAAGTGTTATTCTATCATTATGTATTGGTATGAAATGTTTTAAATTTTCTGCTATTGTTATGTTTATACAATGAATGAATGCTTAGAGACTTTTCTTAGACCTCTGAGAGATCGACGACACAGATAACTTCTTGTGGGTTCTCCTAGTCATTACATAACAATTCTTCAAAATCTCTATACTCAATATAGAATCATCGAATAAATGAATAAGAATGTCGAAGTTTTAAAAAAATATTGTTCGATCACACTCTAGATCCATCCATGCGATTGAGACACTCGTAGGGAGTGTGTTTTCTCATTCTGACAAAACAACAAGAAGAAAGATACCTTTTAGATGAATAAGAACTCCTGGATCATTATTGGAGTGTTCATCGTGCCACGACATTCAATAATCCACTTCTTTGGAGGCAACCCGAGATCTTAAATGTTAGGATTTCATTTTTATAAATAATGTTGTGTGGTTGATGCATATTTAACTGAGGAAAATGTTCAAAATTTAATGTTGGCGAATAAATATCTTATTCTTTGTATCACCAAGCCTCTGCATTGGGCCTCGTGAGAATAATTATTTCACATAAAATGAGGGACACACACTCAATCGGCGATTCGCCCAGTGGAATTGACAATTATGACTAACATTGCCAATTGGATAGATTTTTCACTACATATATGAATAAAAAATACATTCTCCGCTCCTTGTCACTTTCAAACCTTATAACTTCTCACCAAGGAAGCAATATAATCTCTCTCACTTTACACTAATGCTTTTAGTCTTGGTTTAGCTTCTAGTTCTCTGATTCAAATTGCCACTTGGCATTGCAATAGTGTTTTCTTCAAAAGAGAGATAATGCTAGTTTCTGAAACGCCAAGTTTATCTTTGAAGAATCTACACACATTTGCCGTACGTATATCTATTGATGCATGCTAGACCTCTTTGTTTAAAATGGCTTGTTTGAATGTTTGTCATGATTTGCAAAGTGATGCCTATTAAATTATTAGTTGAACATTATGCACTGATTCTGGCATAATTAATATTCGCCATATGGGGGTAGTATGTTAGGGATGAATCTTCGTTGTGCATATTTTGTATTTATTTTTTGGAAGTGAAAGAACAATATATAGTTTAGGGTTGAAGTTCTGGGAAGATGTTAATTCATTGAATTTGTTAAGTCTACGAAACTTCTTGGTGGTTCGCTCAGTAATGTTTGCTCACCTATTATCTAAGAACCTAAGTGTTGAAGGTGTTGTAATATTTGGCGAATATAATCGGGAATGTTTAATATGCTCAAAGATACACTGACAGAAATGTTGATTGCATTTAACTTACCTCAACTAATTTCCTTACATTGTGAATATCGGCACACAATATCATACTCGCTTAAAATGGTCAGCGTTCTGTTAAATGGAACATCTCTTCGCCGAACAACCATAAATATTGAGATAAGCTTTTCGGCGAGCTCACTATGGTTTGCTGAAGATGCCTGGTTATCTGCATATTAAATCGTAAAACCCGACTGTGATTTTATACTCCCCATTAATTAACCTCTAAATTAATTTGTAGATATGGCCGCAAAACCAACCCAAAGAAAGGAAAAGGAAATTGTTATTAGTGAAAATGAACCACCAAAAGTGGGGAAGTTTACGGAGCATTCTAAGGCAAAGGAAATGGAAAAGTTCTCGAATTATAAGATGAAAGTGATGAAACCAAGGCCTTTTGAACTTTGACCCCATCCATTAAAGAACAAATCCTGAGGAGGAAGGGGAGGTAAAAGAAAAGAGGATAGAGAGATGAACCAAAAGGGTAAATGACGCATCTAGGATCATGATCCAGAACGTGTAGTCTTGACTTCTCCAAATACGGAACAAACTATGATGTTGGCACTACCAGGACAGGGACTCCCACGCAAGACACAAAAATTGATCAAAGTCAGAGGGGTTGAGGACCATAAGTTTCACATATTCACCAAGACACTCAGCCCTTACATCCTAAGCTTTGTGAGAAATTTCTATGATGCATACATTTCTATGGTTCATCAACAGAAGATGATAGTATTCTTTTTCAAACGGTGGATTATGTGGATTTTCCAAGAAGAAAGGTAGCTTGCGATAGTGGATCCATAAACGCACCCTTGGAATTTTACTCTAAAATTCGTGATCGCTGTCAATGCTTGATCAGAAATGAGAAGCTAGATGAGATGAAGAAATGAATAGATCCACTAAATTGCAGTTCAAGAGGTACCAGATTTAATAAAAGATTTGAACATGCTGCAAGATATTAGTTTGGGTTCATTAGTAGCTTAATTATTCCTTCTCAAAATTAATTAGTTATGTGACACACCAAAGATGCGCTTTTTGGATGAATTATGAGGCATTCAAAGACAAATCTGATGATCACCATCGATTTAGAAATCAACATGCAGGAAAAGCAAAGCAAAATTTATCTCTCCTTTTCTGCATTAATCACGTATTTATGTAGAAGAGCCGAAGTCCTTACGAAAGCAAGGAACTATATGTAATTACTTTCCTAAGCATCCATAGATATTTGGAATATAGATGTCACGCCTCGAGCTACCCCCGAGACGCGGACACACGACTTAGTACCACAAGCGATCCCAAACTAACCCTACTAGCATGATCATGAGCGTACTAAAGATAATAAATTGGTGACAAAGCTAAATCATAATTAAAATTAAAATACAGGTAATACCCATATACAGTAACTGAAATGTATAAAAACTTATGAGTTTAATAGAGAGAAGATATTAACTCAATACTAAGTATAAAAAAGCTGTGTCTGAAATAAGACTCTAACTAACTAGAATAGCTGGGACAGCCCCAGCTAAGTCTAGCATAACTAAAACTAAAGGACTAAAACGACTTTATAAAACTAATGACTATTGTCCTCAAAGCATGAGGACTCACTACTAATTATGGTAATTGGATAACGACAATGTATATAAGCGTGATCTAGAAGTTGAAAACATAAACTAGCATCACAAGATGTAGGGCACATATTCGTTGGTACTTGCAAGGTATTGAACATGTAGGATAGAGTAAAGCTTAAAATAATACTTAACTCAACAGGCACAAAGGCAAGTATAATATTCTGAACATGACATACTGTTGTTGAGCTAAGTACATGCTATGAAAAAAATTTAACTTGCTAAGATTGAATACTAACTGAACTATAAATATAGTTAGTGCGATAGAAAACTGAATGATTAGTTGAAGCTACTAGTAACCGATAATAAAACCATATGAGCTAAACGTGGAGTGCGATGTATAAGCCAGATTTAGTTGAACCAATATAGCGCGCCAAAGGTATCGAGGCATGATGGAGTGATAACTAAACTGATATCCACACAGGGGATTTACAACCAACTTGGCTAGTCGTTCTACGACTATTTGGGCACGCTAAACCCAAGTCCAACTCGGTATTATGCTACTTCCAATGAATTAAGTCGTTAATTGATTATGACTAAATTTATGTTAATACTAGATAGCTCAAAACTGAACATAAAAAATTGAGAATGCAACAATTAATTTGATAATGTTGCATTCATAACTAAGGCATGTAAAACTAGATAACTCAAATATCTAAACTATCATCTATAGATCAAGAACGAAAATATACATAGCTAGGTTTCTAAAATTCATTCATTGATCTGAACATCAATTAACTAATCTTATTTGGATCATTCCGTCATCGAAAAGCACTATAATTCTAACATTCAAGAAACCCTAGGTCTAGTAAAAATAAGGGAACCAAGAAACTGAATGTAAACTAGGGACCTAACGGATGAAAAGAACCCACTAGTGAAATCCCACATACCTTATGTTGAATTCCACGAAGAAATCTTTAGATTTCAAGGAAGAATTTATGGAACCTTGTTGCAAGATACTATTCTAGAATTGTTATTTTAGTTAGATTTTATCTTATTATTCACCCATGGTTCTCACAATCCTAGTTATGTAGTATAGTTACCTGTAGTAATAATCGCAATATTCATATATATATAATATAAGAATTCATGCTCTTACTTAAATGAGAAAGAATAAAATCCAGAAATTTACCTGATTAATCGACAAAATCACCAACAATAAACTCCAGAGATAAGTGTAACAATCCGATGTGTAATTATCAAAATTATATACTAACAAAGAATCTAACATAAAATTTTCTAATAACCAAGAGTCTAACCCCCAAAACGAGGTTTTTACAACTATTTATAAAAAAACAAAAACCTACTAAAGAAAGACTCTAACTACTGAAAATTTGTCAAAACGCAGCAGGGTCGACAGACCTCGTGACGTGCCGTCGTGGTCACGACGGGCCGTCATTGACTTCGTCGTCCCATACTTTGAAAATCTTCTGCTGCTTTCTTCATTACCCTCGATGGCTGGTATAATGGACCGCTCCAAGCACGACAATCCATCGAGGGTTTCCGTTCCATAACAGTTAAACTCTTTGAATTTGGGTACTAGGACTACTTCTCTGGTCATCATGACCAACCAGCAGGACGGATTGCATGGCTATGACGGTCCATCATGCACTTCGTTACCCCACACTTGTTCAGACTTCCCCATCTTCCTTCAGCAGCTTCACTATGATGCCACCTACGGACCGTCACAGGCACGACGGACCTTCACATGCTCCGTAAGTTGTAACTTTTTTGCATTTCTTGCTCAAAAACTTCCGCATTCATCTTTAGATAGATTTCCTACAAAAAAAAAGGAAAAGTACATAAAAATCAATACACCAATACTTTTTGGCTCACACTAAACTTAAGAAAAAATCATTAAAAATATCGGGAAACTACGATATATCAACACCCTCAACTTAAATTAGTTGTTTGTACTCAAGCGACGCACTATGACACACTATACAATCTTTGTACAATAGTATCCATGTTTTATCTTTCGCAATTATTTGGCTATCAATCCCGATCAGTCTCATCATATTTATGCATGTTATCACT